AACCTGCAAAATAAAAAGAAAAGAGCCGCAAGTAAAAAGCCCTAAAGCAAAAAAAGAGACCAATAAAAATAATTTCTTATTGGTTGTCCAAGGTTAAAAAAAAAAACCTGGTTGCCAAAAAACCAAAACAACAAAACAGAATCAATGCTATAAACCTCTAATAGAGGGATAAGACTTCCAAACAGAAATCTTAGCAGAAGTAGCAAAGGAAATATTTTAAATGAGGTAAAAAAATGAGATAATACTAAAAGAATAATTACATTTAAAATATAGATGATCATGACTTTCATTATGATTAAAACAAAGGATACAAGAGGTGGGAATGTTAAGATTTCTCTTAACAAGATTATCAGTAGTTTTTAGCCCCTTCAACATAGCCCTCCAAGCATAGCAAGAGTATCTTAAAGCATATCTTTTATGCCACATAAGCTTATGTTGAGTCCAATAATTAGGTTGTTAAGCCTAAGTAAATGTCCCAAGGCTACGCTTATACCAGTCCCCTTTAGAAAGATTGTCAAAGAAGCTATTATAGAACATATTAAAAATAGGAATATGAATATTATTCCAAGTAATATTAAACACCAAGTTATCAGAAATAACCAAATGAGAAATACATTATGAATAGCCGTAGGCAGAGAATCAGGAAAATACCAGCCATTAACAAAAATCCAATCACCAAGCTTCCCATTATGAAAAGAATAAGGCAGAGATTCTTTCAGTGGTAGCAATATAATGAATAGACTTCCCCATATACCAAGGATCCCAACATAAAGAGAGAGTACTATTAGAAAAATTGTTAAAATGAATCAAGTTATCTCCTTGGCAACAGAAGAAATATTATTCCAAAATCTAGAAACAGCATGTGGAAAGGGTTTCCAAAAGGAAACATATTTATTTTTAATCCAAATTTCCAGCGGACCCATGTCATTAATAATTCTCCAAATAAGAGTACAGTTGTAAGCAAAACTGAGAGCTATAGGGTCAAAAATGCCCAACCAGCCTACAATTTTAGGAAAACAAACTTTATTCCAAGCAATAATATGAATATTTCTACTAATAGGATCACCATGAAAAAGAAAATTAGAACACACTTTCTTAATGAATTTAAAACAATATTTAGGCATGGTAATACCTCTAATCCAAGAAGAAATAACATTAGTAATAGTAAAATTGAGAAATTGCACCCTACCAGCAAAAGAAAGCAATTTTGCTTTCCAACCTTCCAAAAGAGTTGTAATACGACTAAAAAGAGTTTGAAAATCCAAAATATTAAGATTCTTACCAGAAAGGGGCAAACCTAAATAATTAAAAGGATATAAAAAAACTCTAATACCCAAAATAAAACTTATAGTATCTTCTATATGGCAACCCTTAGAAATGACCAAAGAGTTTTTATTTGAATTAATATATAAACCAGAAATAGAAGAAAAATACATCAAAATCTCATTAAGGTTCCGGGCATTATCTAAGGTAGCTTTCTCAAAAATGAGTAAATCATTTGCATAAAGGTGGGAAATATAATTATTTCCCGCCTTAATCCCCTGAAAGCAACCATTGTGTGAACGATCATCCAAGATGTTCAAAAGAGCATCCATAATAATACAGAAGAGATACGAAGAGAGTGGAAAACCTTGTCTAAACCCCAAGGTAAAATTAAAATAACCATGCATATAACCATTAAGAATAACAGAAAAATACACATTCTCTATGCAACCTTAAATCAAAGAAATGAAAATATCAGGAAAACCTTTTTGGGCCAATCTAGAGATTAAGAAATCTCTCGACACTGTGTCAAAAGCTTTATGAATATCTAATTTAGCACAAAAATATTTATCCCTAGAAGAACAATTAAAATCTCTAAGAATATCAGAAACAAGAATAAAATTATCAGTAGAAACCCTCTTCTTAATAAAACCTGCTTGACCATTGTGAATAATATGAGGCATAACACATTGAAGCCTATTAGCCAATATTTTTGCCACAATCTTATAGAAGACATTGCATAACGAAATAGGTCTAAAATCCAAAACATAAATAGAATTAATCTTCTTTGGAATCAAAGAAATTGTCGTAGCTTTAACAGCTCTAGGTATATTACCCTTGCAAAGAGCTTTACCAATAATATCCCAAGACTTTTTAAAGACTTTAAAATTGTAACCTTCAGGCCCCGGGAAAGAGGACTTCGGGCCATTAAAAACAACTTGTTTAATTTCTTCAACAGTGATCAGAAACACCAAAGTAGCTTTCTGAGAATCAAAAATTACTTTCCCCGCATAAATATTGGAGGAAGTAGCATTAGCAGGTATAGGAGAGTTAAAAATATTGTTGAATTGACTAGCAAATAAATTGGCAATATCCAAAGAATCCCAAACCATTCCATGAGCCAAGGAAATACCATGAATCTTATTCGTATTTTGTCTGCTCTTGATATTAAAGTATAAAAAACCTAAATCATCTTCTCCACAAGTCAACCACTTTTGTTTAGCTCTTTGAGAAACTCAAGAAGACCAATAAGACAAATTCTCTTTAAGAAGAGAATTAATATTAGTAAGAGCTAAATTCATATCAATAGATCCTTCTGAATTTGAGAACATAATAAATTTTTCTTTGATTTGAGCTCCTCAATGGAAGCAACAAGATGCTTAGAAGAAGCCCAATCATTATTCTTAATTAAACCTTTCAGCTTACGCAACTTACTAAACAATTTATTAATGGGATTATCAATCAAAGGTTTGGAAATAACTTCAATGAGCAAATCCCAAAACTCAACTTTCTTGCACAAAAAAATCTTGAAAAGAAATCTAGCACCAGAAGAGACATTATTATTATTATTACAAATAATAAGAGGTGAATGATCCGAACAATGTGGATCTTCAACAATATAATAAGAAGAATGATAAGAATTAAGCCAAAAATTATTAACCAACACATTATCTAATTTAATATGAATAAGGTTTTTATTTTGTTGATTAAACCAAGTGTAAAAATGCCCAATAGAAGACAGCCCAGTAAGACCAGAGTTAAAACTACAATGATTGAAATCTCTCAAATTGCTCTGAGAAATAAGATTACCGCTAGATTTTTCATTACAAAACCGACACCAATTAAAATCTCCAAAAAAGACCCAAGGAGAAGAGATATTCAATGAAATATGTCCAATTTCCATCCAAAGATTTAATCTATTAGAGCTCGAATTGGAAGCATAAATGACCGTATAAAAAAAGGAAGAAGAACCAAAATTAATGATACCATGAATAAGCTGATCCGTGATAAGAATCGAACTAAAAGAAATACTAGAGGCATTCCATTTTAGCCAAATTCTACCTGTCGAGGAAAGGTTAAAATTATTACAGCTACCTTCATTCTGTAAAATACGATGTTTTTCTTCAAACCAAGAATTCCCAATAAGACACGAATTTATTCTAGCTTCAAGAATACAACAAAGATCAGCATTAAAGTTTTTAGCAAGATCTAAAAAGACCTTAACTTTCTCCAAATAGTTAAAGCCTCTCACATTCTTATCTAGGGAGAGGCGTAATCCTTATCTCTTCTTCTACTTGCTGCATCTCTGATCCGACGTTTCTTTCTGTTTTGATCATATTTTTTTTCTTCTTCTCTTGTTGTTTTTTTATGGATTCTTCATCTGATTTTTCTCCTTTAAAATCAGATAGGAATTCTTGTTCGGTCTCTGGATCTTTCCCGTCGGGAATGAAAGCATGGAATGGGTTATTGACTACTTGTCAATCTACACCCAAACCTTTTTTCTATTTCTTTTATTCCTTCTACTGATAATCTTGCATCTTTTTCTGGAGGTGTGTCTAGGTTGCTTCTGAAAAATGGGGTTTAACCTTGGTTGGATATTCTTTAGGTAAGAGACCTTACTTTAAAGCTTTAAATAATATCATGCTTAAGGTCTGGAATCTTAAAAGTAGCTTTGCGCTTCTTGCTTTGAATGAGGGTTTCTTCTTAATGAAGTTTTATTGTCTGAAAGATTTTGATCTTGTCTGGTCCGACGTTCCTTGATTTTTCTTTGGTAAGCCATTTATTAAATTTATGAGCATAAGTTTTTTAATTATAAAATTTATATATTATATTGTTATTCTTTTTAAAATTTATATTTATATTTATATCTTTATATATATATTTCATTTCAAGACCAATTTATTATACATATGAGTTATATATATATATATTTCATTTCAAGACCAATGAGGGTTTCTTTATATATATATTTCATTTCAAGACCAATTTATATTCAAATTAATAGTCAATTGAGTTTTTTAATAACCTTTATACTGAGATCTTCTTTATGAATTTTAATCTTTATTAAAATTTTAATTATTTTATAATTTATATTAAATTTAAATAATTTTAACCTTTATTAATTTAATCTTCTTTGAATTATTGAATTGGGAATCAGTCATCCTTCTGATTTAATAATCTGATTTGATTTTCTTGTAAAAAATCTCATAATTCTTTTTTATATTTCATTTCGTCAAATTGATCGCATCTAATTTTAATTGTTTTTTTCCTCGTGAATTAAGGAAGAGGACACCCACGTGACATCTATCGGGGCCCACTGAGGTCGCTCTTTGGCGTCCACGTTGCTGATGAATTTATCGGGACTGGCATTATGGGCCCACCAGATAAAAGTCGTCAGTCATGACCTAATATTTATTTTATTTATTTTTTAATGAAACCTAACACAATCGTCCGCGGCGGTTTTTCCTTCACATTGTTTCCAAAATTGATGGTGCCCCGTATCGGTATCGGAAACGACACCGTATCAATATTTTAAACGAACGGCAGCGATCAGTTCTACTTCAAGAACTTCCTTATTCTGTCCTCACCAGTGGTTCCGTTATCGTGCACCTCTTGGATTTACGGAAAAGTGCCTCTAGGCAATGAAGAAATTTGATTGGTCTAAAGGATAACTGTCACTCTCTTATGCTGTCCCGCTAGACTATCGAGAAATTATACGGTAAATGGCGGTCCGATGGCTTTTTATTCGAAAATCAGACCTGGATGTGGAAGCAGTTCCTTTCTTTTTGCGTTAGCACGGATGCGACGTACTGGCATTCAGCTCAATCTCTGTAGTTTTCTTGTTTGTTGGCGTGAATTTAGTTTCTGAGACTGAAACTTCGTGCTAGGGATTTTGTGAGGTTGTCCCTTGCGGATCCATTTTGACATCTTTCCACGGTTTTGCTATAAAAGCAATTTGTGGGATGTGCTTAGGGTTTCTGCTAATATTTTAGATTGGGTTGATTTATCATGAGAATTACGGAATTGGAGGAGGGGCGGTCGGGGAGCTGTTTTAGAGATGAGATTGGGACAACGAGGGCTAAGAGGGTGTTAGTTGGTTTGGGAGCGAGGACTCTGTTCTACCCAACGCTTTTCTACAATGTCCTCCGCAATCAGATCCAGTCGGAGTTTCGATGGTGGGATGAAGTAGATCAGGTGATTTCTCTAACATTTTTTATAATAAAATTTCTAATTTCTGCGATCAGGTATGATTTTTATGCTGACGACGCATAGTTTTCAGCATTTTCTTTCTGTAATGCTGCTTCTTTTTGAAATATATGGCACTAGAACTGTCATGCTTGTAGTTTGGTAATGATATTTCTAACCAGTAACATAGTATTGTAAAGCATTAATAATATTAGAGATTTGCTTATGCGACCAATCGCTAAATTTGGGTCCGATTGAGCTTACGTTAACATTCTTTTGATTAGGTTTCGAAGGTAAAGACTACTTGTTTACTATATCTAAAATATTGTTGGATTCTTGGTGGAATCCCACACCTTGATACTAGGGCGCAATTTAGAGAGATGAAACCGGAGGAGAAGGCATTGAATCAAGCTAAAATATATTCTAAATAGATTTGAGAGAGGCTTAATAGAGACCCTTCATGAAAAGCAGTAGCTTAAACAAGACAACAAAGACAGTGAATGAAGAGAGGGGGGGTAGAGAGAGAGAGAGAGAGAGAGTTTTGACATCAAGAATTGTCATTGAAGTGACAAAATCCCTCACCTTAGTACCATGTGAAAATTGCGATGTGATGCATTGTTTGTCTGTCCTAGCAATTAACCCTTTATTTATAAGCGATAATCAAGATCAACATTATATTATGAATAATAGAAGAGAAAATAGAATACATTGGTTTTTAGTGCCTCTCTAAGCTTGATATATAACAAATTTGAGGTTGACTCTTATGTTGCAGAGATTTGGCGAGTTCTACTTAGAGGTTGATGAACTTCCTTAAGAGGTTGGAAAGTTACATTTTAGTCGATCCAGCTCATTTAGTAGGATCAACTTAGAGTTCTCAAAAAAATTCATATGCTAAGATCTATTACTCGATGCGTTGCAGATCTTTAGACAATTTGTAGTTTAGCTAGCTCTAGATGACTTTTAGGTTAAGTGATGTCTGGGTGTTTAGAGTTTTATTAGACAAGAGCTAGTTCAAGGTTCACTTGTTTCTAGGCCTCAGTCTAGGTTGATGTAATGACTTGATTTGTTAGATTAGATGTATACTATTATACATATATATAGTTGGGTCGAACCATGCAAACCATGCAATTTTTGTGTTTAAAAAACTTGACTTGCTCATATCATTCGGTGGGGTAGGGTTATATTAGGTATGATTAGGGGGGCAAAGCTATCTATTGAACTTGACTTATTTTAGTTTCAATTGGTTTTATTGCTCCATAAGTTAATGCCCTTGTCTAATAAAAGGAAACTAAGATAACTTCATGGAACTTATAGACAAAAAAGAACACAAAGAAAATAAGATTTGAACTTGACTTATTTAATTTTTAATTTGTTTGATTGCTCCACAAGTTAATGCCCTTGCCTAATAAAAGGAAACTAAGATAACTTCGTGGAACTTATAGAAAAGAAAGAGCACAAAGAACAAACGATGGAGTCAAAGGCACAAACATCTGAAATCATTTCTAGATATGAAATTGAAGGGTCCATTTGCTATCTTAATCTTATCTTTATATAAAGTAAGAGATTTGGATGTGAAAGTGTCTGTTTGCTTAAAGGCTTTGGGGTCAATATTCTATGGCTAGAGGGCTCATAATTAGAAGGATGAATTACAAAAGCCGCATCCACGTCTGTGCAAAGTGTGAGTAAGAGTATGTTCTGGAAGCAAGGAGAGAGCATTAGAATTGGAGCATTAATTATCTTAATGCTTGAATTTCCTTGGATCAAGGTTGCCTTTTAAGAGCTATCATTTTATATGCAATAAATTTCATTTCTTGTTTTGGTTATACATTATTTTAGATTGAAACCTCTTTATACCCTTAATCTATAGCCTAACATTCCACCATGTTGTTTGATTCATTTATATGTTTCAGTATCTTTTGCTTGGAGCTGTTCCTTTTCAGAAAGATGTTCTTCACTTACAAAAGCTCGGAGTTAAGGGTGTTGTCACTCTAAATGAACCATATGAGACTTTGGTTCCGTCATCTTTGTTTAAAGTGAGCTTCACTTTTTCATATTTATTTAACTTCATTTTTGTGATAAATTTATTTGCCTCATTGAGAAGCGTGAATATGTGAAATTAATTTTTGATAATTTTGGTAACTTTTTGTTTGTTTTACAAGAAATATAATAATAAATTTCTTGAGTTTTTTAATCTCTACAGCAGGCATTTGCAAGCTTTTTTCCTTCAACTTATATTGGTAACTTGTTTTCCAACAGTCTGGTGGGTGGCAGCTCATAACACAAGCAGTTTATTTAGAATTTTTCCAAATTGGATGAATTTTAATTACATTAAAAATGAAATAGATAGTGAATTGCAAATATATTAAAAATTTATTTATATTTGATTTACTTCAAACCAAACATTGAAAGTTTTAGAAGTCTTGAGTCTGACTTTTAACCAAACAATTCGTTAGCAAATAGAGTTCATGTTTATGCCAACTTTTAACAATGGTTTTTGAAAAGAACCAATGATATAGTGCATGGAAAATTGTTGGATTTCTTTTCTTTCCATAAAAATAATTAAATAGAAGTTTGTGGCCTCATTATGGGAACTTTGTTCAATGGGAAAACAATTTTCCCTTTCTCTTAGCTACTATACCTCTTTCGAGTGGAGTGTTTCCTTAAATAAGTAGGTGATAGAAATGCTATTAGCAATTTTATCCTTCAATGTAACTAGATAATAATGAATGACCTCCCTATCTTCTATGTATTTCTTTCAGGTGCATGGAATTGATAATCTCGTGATTCCGACCAGAGATTACTTTTTTGCTCCTTCACTTGTTGATATATTCAGAGCCGTGGATTTCATACGTAGTAAGTTTTGTTCGCCAATATTCTATTGAGTTGAACTTTTATGGCGCGTGATGTGTTTCCATTTATGGATGTCTTTGTTTATTTCTTGATGTTTTATCTATCTTGATATGCAAAATGGAGGTTACTTGGTCAATATTGTGGTAATATTTTGATGTTTTAATGTCGTGCATTGAGATCACTTGATTAACAGGTTTATTGACGTGTAATATATCAAGGTTTGGCATGTACGTAAATCTTCCAACTTGGAAAGTTTCACACTTCTGAAGCTGGCACAAGTCAGTGGCATGTGTATTATTTTTTAATTGTGTTTTCCTAAAAATATTTAAATTACACCTAAAAGGGTTGCATCGTTAATTTCATTTAGAATAATACAATACTAAGTTAACTTTCTCCTAAAAAATTTTCTTGGTTGAGCTTTGTTTCAATCCCTCTTGAATTGTTTGTTTCTTGGTATTCTAACCACAAATTATTGTACTACTTGATTAGTTTTTATTTTATTATGGAAAACATTCTTGTTAGTTATAACATTTATCTTGATAAGTTTTATTTCTTATTTTCCTCTTTGTACGTGCTCCTCAATTGGGGAGCTACATATGTGTTGACCTCCATATAAAATCTACAAGTTGATGGGGTCGAGTAGGTCATCATCAAAAGATGGATGCATTACATGAAAAATCTACTAAAAATTTTCTGAATGCATTGTCCATTTTGCCAAATTGACCATCTCAATGAATCCAAAATGCTGAAAAGGTTTGGGAAGGTCTTTGTATATTTCTTGAGCTGCGACAAGAGAAAACTTATTTCACTTTTCCTCTCAAATCTCTCTTTAGTTCTTTGTGAACATGTTGTCTGCATCACCCATGGTATATAGAGTAATTTTGCCATCTTAAATAATCCCTTTACAAGTCTTTCTTAATTTGGTAGTGAGTTTACTTTGGTTTAATTTTTTTTTTCTTTGCAAGGAACTCCCCAAAATGTCTAAATATATATATTTTTTATATATTGGATATGAAGATTACTCGCCCATGTGCCCCCTAATCCAATCAAGAAAAAGAAATCGATCTTAAAAAAAAAAACATTCGTACTCGATTCGGATTTTGTTTTGAATCATTCCCGATCAAAGACAAATTGTCTTTTTTCTTACCGTCGTCAATACATGAATAGATTTCTTCTATTTGGAAGTCTATCTCTATGAATAAGAGAATTTTACAATAACACTTCGCGCCTTTTCTTATTGAAGAAGAAAACTCGTTCACCACCCACACACATTTTTCTTGATGAGGAGAATTTGACTTTGGTGCTATTGTCTTGTATATTAACATGCACATATTTTTTGACATGGTAGGACGGCTTGACATATACTTTTCAATACCCTTTGTTGTGGGTGACATAGAGCATTGAGGTTATTTAGTTAAAATAAAATAATTTCAAAGTTTTGCACATAAAATTTTTGAAAAATTCGACTCAAATTATATTGCTCCAAAAGTGTGTAGACACATTAAAATGGAGCAAAACTTTTCCTTGCTTCAAATATTTCAATGGCATTGTTCGCACACATTCTCGATTCAGTCATGATGATGAGAAATACTCTTGATATTTTATATTGTTTTCGAAAAAAAAAAAGAGCAACAGAGAAAAAGATTAAAAAAAAAATTCATGCCCCCAAAAAGTATTAGAGAGATTTAGAAAAATCCTAAAAGATATTTTGGCCATTCTTGAATCATCTTAGACTCATTTTGAGGTGCACGACTGCTCTGAGTTTTTTTTTTGTTGGAATAAATATAAATAATTCATTAAAGATTCTTGAAAATGATGGAAGAAGGAATACAAATGTTGAAAATTTTGGTGTTTTTTTCTGTTTGATTCTCTATGTGCTAGAAGTAGAGTTGGTTAACTTTTATTTTGAATTCAAGTTAGATGGTTGAAGTGGAGGAATGCATCGGGCTTGTTGTGTGATAGAAAAGTCCCCCTTAAACTTAAGAGAAAATTCTATAAGATGCTGGTGAGACCCGTAATGATTTATGATGCAGAATGTTGGCCATTTAAAGAGAGGCATAATACTAAGTTAAGTGTTGCAGAGATGAAGATGCTCAGGTGGATGAGTGGCTTTACCCTTAGAGACATGATACAAAATGAGCATATATGTGAAATGGTTGGAGTAGCTCCAGTGGAAGATAAGATTAGAGAGAGTCACCTTAGATGGTTGTTCACATAAAATGATGGCCCTCTGATGACCCAATTAGGAAAGTAGAGGTATTAGATTTGAATTATATTAAGATAAGTAGAGGTAGACCTAAAAAGACTTTGTTAGAAAATATTAGAAATGATATTTCTTTATTAGATTTAAATGAGAATTTGACTTTTAATAAGACACAATGGAGAAAAAAGATTTATGTAGCTGACCCCACGTAGTGGGACAAAGGCTTGATGATGTTGTTGTTGTTGTTGTAATGTTGAACTAACTGAAAATAATTTTTGTTGATTCATCTTCATTCTAGCCATGGTTCAATGCAATATCTTGTTAGCTTTCTTTATTTTAAAATTAACAAGAATCTTGCACCATCTTTGTTTTAGTGTGCTTATTCTCCATTCTAATGTCACATTATCATCAACTTTGTTTAACTGATTGATTCTCTCTCATTCCAGGAAATGCATCCTGTGGGAGTACTACCTATGTTCACTGTAAAGCTGGAAGGGGACGTAGTACCACCATTGTTTTATGCTATTTGGTAATCTTTTATGTTTTCACAAGAACTTGTCTAATTTTATAAACTTCATTTATGTTTTAAGCGTCCATTTTGCTAATGCTGATGCTATATAGCCTTCTCTTCTTAGGAGGTTATGATATCATATTGTATCCTTGCTTGAAGGATCATGAGACACCTAGACATTTTTACTTTTACAGATAGAATACAAGAATATGACACCTGCTGATGCTTTGGAATATGTTCGTTTAAGAAGGCCTCGGGTGCTGTTGGCTCCATCACAGTGGCAGGTGTGAAGTCTTCTCCTCTGTGGACATCTATTTTTCGATCTCTTCATTAATATTGATCAATTCACAAAGGAAAACATTATGATAGTCTCTTTAAAGCATTTACCTTTTCTTTTCATATTGTTGCCAATGCATGCTTAATGATTACTGCAAGTGAGAATGCTTGCCACAAACAGCTCGTTTGCATACACAGACTCGTTCTTAACGAACACCCACTTCACCCCACGCCTCGTCCACCATAGATAGAAAATATCTATGGTTTGCAGACTTCCATGCATAAAACCTTAAGAAAAAGTGTAAGGCTGATGATCTCCATCATTTACATTGTTATTTCCGTATTTGAATGATTTTTAATAAGTTATTTTTATCTTCTTTTTTTTAGCCGGTACTCTTAAATATTTGAAGTGTTAAAGTATTGTGTGAATCAAGGTAACATGCCTAAGCTGTTTCTTGAAAGGATAAAACGACATTCAGTTGTAGACAATAGAACATTCCACACATTTCAATAAAATTTACTTAACATTGCATGCATGTTGCAAATTAACATACCGTGTTGAAAAACCACGTCTTTGTCTTCCTGGAGAGGTCACAAAATTTAAGTTACTTTGCGTTACCAGTTATGGTAGTTGTTTTTTTTAGGAGGAATGATTTTTTTTTCTTTCGTTTAATATTTTACGTTTTGGTGAGTATCAATAGTTGTATGGGTTTATGTCTACATGCTTATTAGGTGGATGCAACACATGCTGCTACATTGAACTATAACCAGTTGAATGTTCATAAATAGGTCCAATATAAGTTATGTTGGAATTTCACAATTATCAGTTAAATGTTTATTAGGTCCAACATAAGTTAATGTCGGAATTTCACATATTATCAGTTAAATGTTTTTATAAGTTTGTGAATGCTATTAACTTTGGTGTGCAACGGTTGTTCTCTTTTATCTTTTATTTCTTGATGGTATAATTCTTAAAACAAATAAAAATTTTCTTGGCTCATGAATGTGAAGTCATGGATTCGCAAGTGTGAAGTGTGAAGTGTGAAGGTAAGCAATTGGAATTGTGCTGCACCTTTTCGATTCTTCCTGTTTTCTTTATTTATCCACCGTTTCAATTTCTCTATCTTCTTTATACTTAATATAATCCTATTGATTTGTTTTTAGTTTAGTGGTGTGATTGGTTGTTGTCAATCAAGCGTAATGGGAGATCTAGATTAGGGCATCAACTTCAGATGCAGCAAGGAATAGACTGCGTAGCTCTGTTTAAAATTGCGCAATTAGAGGCGCGCCTCTGCACAATTTCCTGCTAAAACCCTTAATTTTTTATTTACGCAATTCTGTGTCCGTGAGTCTTACGCCTCAGACCGCCTCGAGGCTTACGCCTCGCCTCACGGACGAAAACCGCCTCGAGGCTTAATTACGCAATTTTAAACCTTGCTGCGTAGTTTCATTTGGTTTCTGCATTTCTAATTTCTTTTACTAGTTCTGAGATATTTCTTCTGAAGTTGTCCTTTGTAATATTTACTTCCTGTAGTGGCATATTTTATTTACAATATGAAGAAATTATATATATAAAAACAAAAATTTAATAGATATTTAAATATTTTCTATAAAATCCATTATAAAATTGGCACATGAACTGAGGTTTCATTCATGGCCACTTGACATTGAATCCAATATTAAAATGATGGTACGGGGAAAATCACTATGGATATCCTTACTACCAATAAGCAAGGTGCTTGGTTTTCACACAAATAAATGCAAGGGCGGTGGAACAATGATTGTAAGCATGCCAAATATGAATGGGCCAAGAATTTATTCAACTTGGTTGAATAATTATTTTGCCAATATGAATGAACTCATGTTTGTTAACAAGCTAGAATATCTTGTTCTTATTTGGCTCATTTATTAATAATTGACCATGAAAAATAAGCTCAATCGATGACCATCAAATACATAGAAGAATAGTTTAATTGATGCCTCCAATTGCATAAAACAGTTTATGACTTTGATAGTCAAGGTTCCTTAATACTTAAAGGAGTAAAAAATATATACTTTCCATGATTTCTAATGTCCATTTTCTGTTTTAAATAACAAAATGCATGATTAAAATGAACTCTATATGTATATATCTTCATATATACATTTACATATTTACTATTTAATATTTGTATTGAGCACTTTTTTGAGTCGAACATAATTTAATTGGATCTTATTTGTGTTTGGCACGTTTATTAAACGAGCTAAAAAATCTTATTCAAGCTTGGCTTGCATTGAGTTAAAGGTGAAACGGACAAGTAGTTTTGTTCATTGTTTTGTGGGCAACTTTTTTGACTGCACCGTTACGATCACATGTAATTTTGTTCTTGCTCTAATACATGCCTGCCTACCTATCTTCTGGGCCTTTTAACTGAGGATGACTTACGCAGGCTGTTCAAGAATATTATAGCAAGCGCAGATCAGAATTCCCAGCCAAGCAGAGCTGTTCACAGAAAAGTTGGCCTGCAGGTGACACCGTCCTGATAACTGAAGCTGATCTTGAAGGGTATGCAACTAGTGAGGATTACTATCAAGATCAGATAATTTTACTAAACTCAGAGAAAGTGGTACTGGCCGAGGCTTCCCCAACTGTTTCTGTACTAGAAGATGAGGTGCTGATCACTGAAAAAGATCTGGAAGGGTATGAAAGCAGCCGTGACAAGGTTTCTGATGATCAGAGATTCTCTTTATTTGGCCTTACCAGATCAAGGCCCATGGTCTCAAAGCTAACTTGCCTCTTTTCATCCTTAAAATTTTCAAGCAGTAGCTCTCCTGCTACCAGCTTGGTTCATGAAGTCCCAGCTTGCTAAATTTATCCTTAGCTTGTAGGTCAGGAAGAAGTGAGGAGTAAATATTAGCGGTAATTGTTTGTGTGTATCATTAACGGTAGTAGGGCCGAATATTATCAATCCCGATCCCGAGGAAATTTGAAACAATAGTCTCCATTACTTTTTGTTTGATTCACCCCACCATTTTTAATCTCTTTGGGCTTGTAAATGCTGTCATCATATCCGTGTTGCATAGTTTCCCTTTTATTTTTTTTGGTTTGTAGTTCTCTGTTGACGTTTAGTCGTTCGTCTCTTTTATGGTTTATGAAGCTTTTCCTCCTCCGGTATCTATCCTTAGCATATCTGAATTTTAAAGGTGATGATGAAGCTAATGCTGTAATTGTTGTTCCTAGACCCTAGTAATTATATTTGTAACCGCCTAGATATTATATTATATTTTTTAAGGGATTTGAACTCTTAATGATTAAGGATATTACCAGATTATTAATTACTCTTTGGCAAAGTGTTATAATTTAGCAAACATTTTGCGCATCAGCTGATAGCCCGCCCATGCATCATTCTTCTCTCTCTCTCTATCTCTTTAAAGGTTTTAGAGAGCATTTTATAACATGAATAAAGAAACTATTATAATGATAACAATTAAAAAAAGTAAATCTTGATACTAATCTTCTCTTTACAAAAGAAAAGACAGAATCCACTAAAGAAAAGGAAATTGCAAACACGATTAAGAGGGGCGCAAACAAAGTAAAAAAGACCATTATCTCCTTTCAATACTTATTTTTTTTGCCAACAATGTTCAATTCTCATAATGAGGTGATGCAGAGCATTTTGTAGCGCGCCGAAATGCAGAGAGCATCATGCTTCTCTTGGAGTAAGAAGTCCACCCTCTACTCCACCATGCTCTGTGCCATCAACCAAATTACTTCCATTAAATTAATTTTATTTTAATTAATTAGCATAATAATTATTTATTAATGATTAATTACTAATATATGTTTATTATAATTAAGATTGATGCAGGTAATGTTAATATAATAAATATCATAAAAATATAACTCCCTAAATCTTGAAATAAGTAGTCAAAGAGCTTTCAATAGTTAACTCTTATGGGACTTATTATATTTGAATTTACAGGATCCGTCTGAGTTAACTCCTACTTGCAGCCAACATGCCCAGAATTTGGAAAGCTTTCATTAAAATGGAGAAGATTTGATTCTGATATAAATGAATTAGTCTAGTTATACATCACACAAATTAATTCGTCATAAAGTTTTAGCCAACAGAGGAAAAAAGTTGCTGAACTTATTAATTTAGGCTTGATTTGGGACGACTTTCTTACTATTTCTTGAAGCAGTTTTTCAATATAAAAATTAAATTTTTGTACTAAAAAATTATTTTAAGAAGCAATAAGAAAGTCGTCTCAAACGAAGTCATAGAATCATTGACGATGCTTACCCAAACAGAGTGATCTAATCTATAGTAAAGAGGTATTCGATGGATCATAGAGACTTGTGAAGGAATCAATCAAGTTCATTTTACCCTAATTTTGATTCAAGTTGTGCACAACTTTGATTGACCTTAGTATAAGTGTTTAGCTAAGTTTGGCCAAATATTAGGCAAGTATCTAATAATGTCTATCAAGACTTAGTTCACAATTCTAAGCTGACCTTAAATAAGCTTGACCAAATCTTCTTGAGTCAAATTAATCAACATACTTATTAAACCCTATGAGCCTTATAGTTAATTTGAGATTTTGATTATCATTAACATTATTAGTTGTATTGATTTTTTACTAATATTTAGGCTTTCTAGTTATAATAATATTTACAGATATGTATTAATATAATGCCAACTGAAGACTGGACAAATAATTACGATAGAAATTACATGCTGAAGAAGATGCACTCACCCTAAGCTTAACTAGAATACTTATATTTAGACTCTAAAGCCACCAAGATAAAAAAGAATGTCAAAGAATTTATTATTTACCATTTTATTTTTTATTTGTCTGTTTGTATGTTCTAGATATTTGATTTATAAGAAAAATTAAAGTACACATGCAAACGAGAGAAAAAATAGAATAAAATATTCTAAAACTATTTTATAATAGTTAACCAATATACCTTTGATCTTCGACAAATTATACTGTATAATGAAGTATCATCCTATGATGTGCAAGATATTTTTTAAAATTCTGAAAGATTAAAGCTTCGTTTGGGAAGGCTTTGTTATTGCTTCTTAAAACAACTTCCTAGTATAAAAATTTTAATTTTTGAACTAGGAAGCTGCTTTAGAAAGCAGAAAAAGAGCCGTTCCAAACGAAGCCTAAGTTGTATTTATCAACATTGTTTTAAAATTGAACTGGACTAACTAGTTCAATCATCAGTTAGTTATATGGCAGGTCCGATCCATCATAAAATTGTCTCTACATCGAATTGGAATGAGATAGTTGTCCCAATTCTTTTAACTTGGCAAGTTTAATTATTGAATTATTTGAATAATTAATTATTTTAATTTAATGTATTTTAGATAAAATATTAAATAAAACATTAAATTTGATAAATTAATTTAAATTTAATATATTTAAATTTTTAATAAGCATTAATTTTTATAATAATTATTTGTCAAAGAAATAAGAATTAAGTTTTTTCATATGACCCCATCATCCCATGTGAGTTCCTAATTCATACTAACCCAAAAGGTTATATAAATAATACTAATAGAAAGTTTCCAAGTAATTTGAGCTTTAAATATATAGTTGAAGTTCTCAAGTTAACAACACATATTTATTTTTTATTTAATAATATTTAATTAATTTCTTTATTTAATTATACACTTAAATATATTTTTTCTAATTATTAATGACAAATGATCTAATATGAATGATCTTTAGATGCAAATTTATGATGTTAATTTGGTATATAATTTATGGATGTAAATTATTTTTAAATATATAAAATAAATTAGTAATAATTTATATTTAATTTATAAGTTTATATGTGAATAAATTTATATTAAATGCAAATCAAATTTAGAGATTGAAGCTGTTTAAACTTAAAGTTATATAATATTATGATTTTTTTTAATTTTAGTCATTAATTTATATTATTATATAATTATTATATTATTATATGTTGCAGTCCATGACCCATAGCCTAAGATTTTATTAATGACAAATAATGTCGATTTGAATTACTTCATTATTCATTGAATATTTTAAATTTTGCTCTTGTCTGTGAGTGCTAACATTTCAGGGAGATCGCATATTACTCAAGACAACAAGAAGACTCAAGATTGGTAGAGTAGGACGTGAAGCTTGTAACGTTCTAATTTCGTTTATTTATTTTTTGTTTTTATTTTTCTTGTGTCTGAATACAAAGTGTATGCAAACTAAGCAACCATGCACTCACACAGGGGGAGAGCTTTCTTTTAAGTGAAATTTTTTTAACTCTCTGTAGATTGTACTGTATGAGTTTCCATCATACTTTACGAACTACTGTGGCTCAATGACTACCTGTAAACTAATCGTACTATACGATCCTGATCATACTGTATGATGTATTTCTAATTCAAAACCCTAGCCGCCAGATTAATTTAAAATTTTAAATCCTGAATTTTGAACTGATCATACTGTACGATCAGTTCGTACATTACAAATATTTAAATACTTACTTAAATTAACTCCCATGATTAGTCAATTAAATCAATGATTAATTACTGATTGGTGATCATACTATGGATTAACTTAGGCTATTTTTGATCGTCCCAAACATCGTACCAAATGATCCCTTAATTATTGAACTAATCGTACTAGATGATGTGAACATCGTACCGGACCACCTGAAGCTTTTAATACATCATACTATATGATCGTACCAGACGATGAATAGAGACAAGTTTTGGTTGTCCCAGTATCTGTCTTGTACAAATAGAAGGAAAATAATATATCATACTGGACGATGGTGTATCGTACTATATGATTTTGTTCAGAAAAATTGCTTGTTCGTACTCCTTCATACTAAGACGAAGGCTATTTTATGTTGCAAATATGATTTCATGGATTAGAATTTTAATGATAGCAAACATTCATGATTTTCTATAACTGCCTTTCCTACTAACTTTTCAGATCCACAAGATTGAGTGCAACTCAAGCCAGCTCAAGTTGGATAGATTAGGTTTGAGTCAGCTTGTAATATTTCATTTCTTAAGTCTATTTTAAATGGAGTGGTTCCTGATGCTAAGTAACCTTGCACACACACACACACATGGGGGAAAATTTCCATCTGTTGATTAGAGTTCTCTATTTTGATCACATCATTTGGGACGATCCTAATATCGTCTTGGACGATTAGCTAAAAATAGAAAACCTAATTAGGGTATCATGGTTAAGAAAACTGTCATTAAGCACATTATCCTGGACGATATTTGTATAAGCCTAGATAATAGGCTCAAATCATAAAGAATCAGCTGCCATATCTGTTTAGGTATTCTTTATTTTTGAACATCATCCAAGACATTGTCCTATATGATGTAGCTCAATTATGACTAAATTAATCTGGTAATTAAGGAAAAAAATTAAGGTATGATTGCTCGATCACATCGTTCGAGACGATCGCAGGATCATCCAGGATGATCTCGTGGATAATTGACATCGACCAGCTTCTATTCAAGGTGGTGTTTAAGACAATTTTACTCGAATTTGTACTAATCGTCTAATATGATATTATATCAGCCTGGTTGATATGACTAAAAATCTTCTGATCGTCCCAAACCGACGGGGCTGATTGAGCAAAATTTACGTTGATCGACAAGGACGATATCCACATCATCCTGGATAATAATGTCAATTTATATAAAATAAGAGCTATTCTGATGTTCTTCTATTTAAGAACTCTTGTTCTACCCTTTAGCTCATCTTTTGCTGCTGCTTTGACTCGAGAGAGCCAAGAGGAGAGGGAGAGCTAGGGAGAGAGAGTGGATCTTGTGAGGGGGTTCATAAAGGTTGCTCCAAGCAAGGATTCATTATCGTCTTCTCCAGCCGTCATCCTTAATTCCTTGGGGGTTCTAGAGAGGTAAACTTTAGCATCTGATCAAGGTTCTCTGCCTGCTTCAGGAGGAAGCAAAAGGAGTTGGGTTCTCTGCTCACCTGGGTTGGTGGAAAGGAGGTTTATATAAGCTTCTCCGCCTTGCTGTGAGGGCAAAAGGAGACACACCGAGTTTAGTGCAATAATCGGAGGGTGCCTCCGGGGAGTGGACGTAGGTCGTGTTGACCGAACCAAT